CGAGGCCTGAGAAAAGTAACATTATAGAAAAAAAGAATATGAGGTATGCTCACAAACTGAGGTGCTGTGCGGAATTTTAGCCTTATGGAAATAGATAGTATGTAAAATTTGTAGGTGGGGTTTGAACACTCCTTTATATACTTTATAAAAATAGACTCACTAAACATATCGGATATGGATGTTAATGACGATGTCCTGCCCGCATCTGAAAGAAAACTTACAGTGCTACTATGGCATAAAACGTATTTATTTAAATTTTGACAGTTTTGACATTGTTGACAACAGTCTGACGCTTATCGCCCACAACGACAGCACTCTAAACACTGTACAAGACAATTTAAAAAACAAATACAAGAAACACCCCCCCCCCACCACACACACACATACACACACACAAAATACCCACAAAAATGTCTGCACTTACTTGGGATTGTTGCACTCCCTGACCTTTGTCTGGACTCCTCCCCCACATGTCCTGGAGCAGGCTGACCACTGGCTAGGCCACGCCCCCCAGCCGCCATTCACAGGCTTTGGACCGTTCGGCCCGATATCCACACAGCGACTACTAATACAGTACTGGGGAGTGACAGAATCACACCATGTACTTATGGACACTTCGCTGCCCTAGAATTACACAGTTCTATCTGGTCAGCTCTTAGGTTTGAGAAAACTGACGTTAAATCTTTTTTTAGTTTCGCAACATGAACAAGCTGTTTCGTTTGCAAGTCTTTGAATATTATATTGATAACGACTCCGTATGGTCTTACGATTTTGATAGAGCAGAGAGAACAATTGGTTTCTGACCCAATGGTCCTAGTAACTCAAAACGGCCAAAAATATCAGATAGAACTTTGTAATTCTAAGGGTAGCGACTAGAGGCTAATACTATCGACTGCTTACAGAAAAACTCCGCAGAGCACATTTTAACAGTTGACATATGACGGACTCTTTCACAGAGCAGTCGATGCAGTAATAAAAGATAGCACTTGGCTACACCAGAATCATCAAGTTCTATCTGACATTTTTGCCGTTTTGATGTAGTAAGACCAAAAGGTCAGGAACCAAATGCTCTAACTGCTCTGTCAAAATCGTAAGATCATACGGAGCCGCTATTAAGTCTGATATTCAAAAATCGTATTCGAAAAAGCTTGTCATGATATGAAACTCAAAATCCTTAACAAGAAATTTATCAAAACCAGGTACTGAGCAGATAGAACTTTGTAATTCTGAGGTTGCGATTTGTATAACGCAAACTACCGTCTCAACGAAATCTCTCTGTGCGCTCTATTACAATCTATAGTATTACCCCAGCAGACCTGATAGCATTCAGAAAACAATCTCAACTTCCTGGGAAGCGTACATTACAAATGCAAACAGTGAAATAAAAATAAAAATAAAACAACTAAGCGAAAACACCAACAAATCCTTTTAAATTCCATTTTTTGTAACTATTGTCTACATCTAAATATATAGACATAAAGGTTTTGAACATCTAGATCTCACTGGCAAAATTGAGGGCAAGCGAGGTAGGGGTAGGCCCAGAACAACATACTTAGGAAACCTAAACAAATGGGTAACAGGGACAGAGCAGGGAAGCGTAGCAATTTTGAGAGCATCAGAGCAAAGGAATGAAAGGAGAACCATGATCGCCGATTTCTGTCGCAGATCTGGCACTGGATGATGATGATGATGATGATGATGATGATGATGATGATGATGATGATGATGAAAGTGTCACTGGTTGGCCGTCGGCCACAATGTTTAGCCTGATCTAAAATATTATCTGTGAAGTTAGATTTCTGAGGATCTGATTACATTATGCTAAAGTGATCCCTTTCGCCATTCCATAAAGCAAAATCTGGCCCCCTCCAAATATGCTCATAAAAAAATATATATCAAATTAGAATTAGACTTCAACTTGACTGGTCGGTTGTTGCTCTGGTGCGGTATGCTCCTTCTTTCCTGTCAGGTATCTTTCGTCTTTATCTCCTATCCTTTTCGTTATTTGTATATTACTCTCTTGATTCTTCGACACTTATAATAATATTTGACCTATTTAGTGCTGCAAGTCCTTTAAAACTCACTCAAACTATAACTAAAGACCTCCATCTCATAATGTTATTTTTAGAGCATCCTCAAAAAAATTCGCCAAGTGATGATTTTGACTTTAATGGCCGTCATGTTTGGTGAGTGAAATGAAACCCTTTTGACGTGTAAGTGTCGCAAAACTCTTCCTTCAACGAAACTTGCTGACAACGTGAGGAAAAGCCACGTGGCAACTGTTTACCTTCCTCTGGCCACACATGGAGCCGTCCATCAGAGGCATAGCCCCCTTCCTTAACTCTCCGGTGTTGGACGGTAACGCACACACGAGCTGGGCACACCGCTCCTGAAAACAGAATATTCTAATATTATTATATATATGACATATTATATATTATATAATAGATATACATATATATACAATTATATATATCATACATATATAATAATATATATGTATAAATATATATATATATATATATATATATATATATAAATTATACTGACCTTGACATTGCAGAGCTGTGATTTGACGGACTCGCCGGTGCACTCCTGACCTCCGAGGCGAGGCCTGAGAAAAGTAACATTATAGAAAAAAAGAATATGAGGTATGCTCACAAACTGAGGTGCTGTGCGGAATTTTAGCCTTATGGAAATAG